CAGAGACACAGAGACTTAACTCCAATGATACCTCCTCTTAGGAGTCCTCCCTAAATCGATGTTGATTTGGGGACTGAGTGGCCCCCTATTATCAAATATCCTCCTTGTGAATTAGCTTACTCGAGGGTTTTTGCATATTTGGGGTGCAGTGACGTATCTAAATATTCACCCAGGTCTATAGAAAAGTAGCTGATACCTTAGGTGGCAGAGCCTGATATATAACAGGTACTCACAAATGCTTTAAAAGTGGGATTGTGGCCAGGTGGTGGTGGCACATGCCTTTAATCCCAGCACTCAGGAAGCAGAGTCAAGTGGAGCTCTAAGAGTTTGAGGTCTGCCTGGTTTACAGAGCAAGTTTCAGGACAGCCAAGACTGTTATGCGGAGAAACCCTGTCTTGAAAGCAAACAAACAAAAAAGTGGATTGTAGCAAGTATGTGCAAGAGTCAGGAAAAAACGCTTCTGTCTTCTCATCACTGATTCCAGTATTCCATCATTATCCCTTGAATGGAAGCATCCTGTGGGTTGAAAGTTTAGTTCTCTGTACCAGAGATCATTTCCAAAATTAAAATTGCATTGGGATGAGTAACTGCCATTGAGATTTGCAGATGTGATTTAAGCAGAGTCCTGAAGAGCTTTGTCACAACCACTTGTGAGATGAGCAGGGACCTTCCAGTGGCATAGAGATACAGGAAGCCAAGGTTTTTGTTTCCAGAAGCCAAGGTCTGACACTGATTTCTACATCACCGGTATCTTATTCCTTTCTGAAATGCATGAGCCTGCACATAAAATTTTGCAAAGGAGCCAAACACTAAACCTTACCAGCTCCATAGTAGAAATCAGTCAACTTTTGTTGGATAGCCTTTCTTAGAATTGCTGTGATCACTCATGACCTTCTATCTACCTGTCCCTTGATTGCAAGTAGTAGAGAAGATCATGGGCACAGAACAGTGGCTGAACAGTGGGTTCCAATATCATAGTCCCTGACACTAGTCATTGGCACTGATGGAAGTTAGAACATGAATTGGTATTGTTCATCCTGGACTCAATTTGGAAATGCAGTCAAGCCCCAGACGAGAGCCCTTTCCTTCCTGTGTGGGAGGGTCAATCCCATGACCAACCCCAGATGACTGGCTGATGCCTTGGGTATGTGTGGGGCATGCATCTTGTGTGAAAGCCCCTAAAGGGTCCCGGCTTGAGAGGTGGAGGGAAACCTTTGCCGACCAGAGACTAGAGACACTCTCAAAGACACAGAGCTGAGATGGGGTCTTGGGGAGGGCTAAAAGGGGCAGAAGAAAGAACATGTGCCCAAGAAGAGGTGTTTGCAATGAACCATTGGTTGCTAGGTTTGGTGCTTAAACTGGCTACCTCCTACACACATTGAGAAAAGGAAGAAAGAGCAGTTAGAGTGCAGGAAAGAGGGAAAAACCCACGTCGCCCACTTGACAGGCGCAAATTGCTGCTTGCCAGAAGCCTGCAAGGGTGGGACAGTCCCCTCCAAATGCTCGGCTCAGAGGTTTGGTTGCCGTGGTGAGTGCCCTTTGGGAACCAAAGGTCTCCTCTAAGCACAAAGGGACACAAAGGGCACCTGTGTGGAGTTCAGCACTGTGCCCCATGCTGGAAGCTGAATGGCTCAGTCACTCCTCTTTGGCCAGGCAGAGTGGGGGATGGGCAGCTTGGAGGGAAGTGAAGCAGAAAGAATCTTTGTGACAATGACAATTTAAGAAACACTAGACAACCGGCTTGTTGGGTGCTTCTGAACTTTCTGGAGGGGGGAAAGCAGCGAAGCCGTCATGTGGAAAATGTCCTTTCTCTTCCTCACAGCCCTTTCCAAGCAAAGGCACTGGCATTGTGTTCCTGGTGAAAGCCCTCATTTCTGACAGGGTTCCACCAGGCAAGGAGAAAAATGCCTGCTTCTGGAAGAGGTTGACTTGGCAAATGTGGAAGGCTGAAGGGCCAGGTGGTGTCTGCTGCTAGGAGATTTGTAGCTTGAAGAAAAACTTCTGTGTCTCTGGTTTCTTAGAACACCGATAGGCGGAAAAAACAGTTGCATCTGGCCAGGCTTCGTGGCAAGAGAATGTGTGAGAGGGAGGCCCTCTGCCACAGGTTCCTCTGCACCTGGGGCAGCACTGATGCTTCATGGGTGGTATGATGCTAAGGAAGCTTCCAGAAGCAATTTGTCCCTGCCAAGTCATCATGGTCTCTTGTGCATTTGCTCAGCCTGGGTCTTGCACCCGGCTGCTGTGCCCGTCATCCTCAGTGGGCCCTGTATATGATGCCAGGTGGATGGGAAACAGGAGAGATGTTCATCATGCCTCCCTAAGGCCAAGGCTCACCATCTCCCCAGAAACACGCTGCGCTTGCTAGTCCATGGGCAGCCCTCCCAAAGGTCTGCAGGTTGGGAGCAGAAGTGCAAAGCTCTGTGACAAGCAGGCCTGGCTGGCTGCCTGTTGGTCTGTTGGTCTATTTACTTATTTTCATAGCTCTTCTCTATGGGTCATGTGTTGTGATGTCAGGTTCTTCTTACAGAAAAATCTGTTGTCACCATTCTAGCCAGGATCTAGGACAGGGAAACTAAGCCAGGCCCAAGTTGGGAGCTTTAGTGTGGGGAACATTCTGGATCTTCACTCCACCTCACCAGCTGGGGAAGCTCTACTCTACTGCTTTGCTTCAAGGATCCCCTAGCACTAGCTCTTGTCTCCTGAACTGGGGAGCAGTGGCAACTCCTGGAAGAGCCACTGTCCCATGAGCATCCTACTTATCCAAGGGAGGTCTGGAGGTCTGGAGGTCTGGAAGGTGGAAGCCTTGAGAGGTTTTAGTCCCAGGGAGGCTCCTGATTTCCCAGACGGAAAACAAATGCTATCAGGTATTAGGAAACTCCATGAGGGGCAAGAACAAAGTGAGGAGGGGTAGCTGTCAGACTAGAGCATGAGGGTCCAAACATAGATGTCACCAGGAGACTGGTGGGAATGGGGACAGAAGAGTCTTCACAGGCACCACGAGAGAGGCAGGAGAGGCAAAGTAGAACTATATAATTGAGAGAAGTATTAGTTACTTACATGATGCTGTGACTGAAATACCCAACAGAAGCTATCTAAGAGGAAAGGCTTATGCCTCGTGCTTTTCAAGGATTTCAGTTCATCATGGTAGGGAAATCATGGCAGCATTCATGGCAGTGGGAGGGTGTGGTAGTGCCTGATCACATCATAGGAAGCAGAGAGTGCACAGAACCAGGAGCCAGGCTATAACCATTAAAGCCTCTCACCCAGTTCCCCCAAGTAAATCTAACCTCCTGAAGGATCCATAGCTTCCACAAATAGTGCCTTTACCTGGGGATCAGGGGTTTCAAACATGAGTCTGTAGGTGACATTTTGTGTTTAAACTATAACAGCAAGGGGTTTGAGCTTGACTGAGAAAGACAAAGGCCCAGATACCCTGGCTTGTCCAGGTCAGTCATGGCTTATGCTTGTTATCCAAGTTAAATTTCTAATGGTGGTCCCTTTTACTTGCCAAAAAAATCCAGGTTTGGATGACAGATTCTGCAATCATCCCTTTCCAAAGACAGGGTGGAATTCAATACAGAAATGAATCTAGACAATGAGATGTAGGACACCTGAGTTGACTTGTCGGGGCCTGAAGGAAAGAGTGCAGTGGGGAGGGCCGTGTGGATTCTCTCTGAAGCACATTTGGCATCCCAGGCTATAACCATGTCCAACCACACATTGGCAGGGTGTGCATGGGTCAAATGGGGCCTGGTGGCAGCTTCAGGACAGAGAAAAGCCATTTACCATCCCATCATTTTGAGGCCATTGAAGGGGAAGAGTGTGATAAGAGACTAAAGAAGGGACGGGGGTGAGTATAGACTTGCTCAGATGTGAGGCTGGGAGCCCGGGTGAGACCTGGAGCCCCAGAGAGCGGTACAAGGAGCCACGAGTAGAAGGCTTTCTAGGATAGTGGCCACCATGGCCTGCAAGGACTAACGTAGTCAGGATCCCAAACTGATAAAGAGACAGGTGAGCAAGAGGGGGCAATAAAGCAGCAGCTAGGAGAAGCAAGTGATTTATGGAATCTAAGCATTTTCTCTGTTCTGATAGTGGTGGGGAAAGGTGGCAAGCCCCTTCCACCCCAGCTCTCCACTCAGGGCCCCATTCCCAGACCTTTCAAGGCTGAAGTGGTGGGAAGAGTGTTAAATAAATTATTGCTAGCCTTGATCCTAGTTGGCATGTGGGAAAAACCGAGCCACAGAGTCACTCTCCTCTGCCTTATGGCACCCTCGGATGGGAAAGAAACTCCATGATGTGCCAGTATGAAACAGTGGAAGCCAGGGGAAGAGGATGCTATGACTCTCGATGGAGGCACGGCTAGACAGCAGGCAGCAGAGCAGAGATTGACCTCATGGCGATCATCTGCATCCAGACCACCGTGTTCTGGTCTGAACAGCTGCCCCTTCTCGTTCTGGCCCATGGCAGAGTTTCTTACACATCTGATGGCACAGAGGAAAAAGTGAGTGACAAAGCAGAAAGACAGAACACCGAGCCAGTCACGACCGTATCTTGTATCCATCAAAGCCTGGCTTCCTGGGTGGCTCTTAAGGAGCTGGACGGAGGCAGCGGGAGCAGGGCTTATCCATAGGTCTCTTACCACAGAGGGCTGCACGGGGAGAAGCTAAAGGATCCAGAGGTCTTGACTTTCCTGCCCCTCTTGCTTATTCTGGCGTTGACCATGTGGAGCCCATCCACCACTTCTGCTTCTTTCAGGGGAATTTGAATTCGGTGTAGCTACAGCTTCTCTGTGCTCATCTCTTCTATCTTCTTGGAGGTTCGTGTAAGGAACACCTTCACAGGTTAGACTAAAGCCCCTAACCTCTGGTTACAGTTGTGTTGAACAGAGTGGAAATCAACAACATGAATAGAAATGTAATATGTTTGGTCCAAGCCGCTGCCCCGCGTGTCTGTGCGTGTGTGTGTGTGTGTGTGTGTGTGTGTGTGTGTGTGTGCGCCTACATGTGTGTGTTAAAGTACACTCCTACATTGCCACAAATTATACAGTCGAGTTTCCCAAATTTGGAGAAATTAGAAGGCTCAGTAAATCCCAAGTGCAGTGAATGAGTGTTATCCTGGGAACCTCGCCTTCTTGGCCACAGTCTCCCCCAACAGGTAAATATTTGTGGTTTTGTTATTGTTGCTTTTGGCCTCCAACAAATTTCCATGAGGCGAAATTGAATTTTGAAATTTATGAAAGGGAATAATGAATAGGAAGTGTTAAATTGGGGTAGGAGAAGAGAGGGCAGGGTAGAGGAGGGATTATGGGGAAGGATAAATAACACTAGGATCCTTTCAAATAACTCATATAGAAACCTACTACTCAAAAAAAAGAAACCTACTACTCTAGAAGCTTCATATACAGACATATATACATATATATGTATATATACAAACATTCATAAAATGAGTTAAAATAGAGTTATTCCAAAACAGAGTGATGATGTCCCTACTAGACACACTGTCTTACAAATAAAAAAACCCAGTGCTAGAAATGGGCTAGTTATTTTGGAGTTGTTGTCCAGTGAGGTCCCACAGACCTCAAATATTACAGACTGTCTCTAATACTCTTGGTCAAACTCCAGAACTCAATAGAAAGACCCCATTGCTAAAGACATCAGCCACAACTGTGAAGATGAATATGGAAGAATCAAGCTGGACTAACATGGAAGCTTCATCCATACTGGCTAGATTTTCTCATTCTCAAAGGTTCTATATACACTATTGGAGGAGAAAAGTAATCACCAATGTTATCTAGCTGTGAATCTTGCAAGCTACAGTAATGATTAGCTTGGTAAGACACACCCAATGGTGCAACAGTGGCAGGAACATTATGGAAGTAACCAACCACTTTCTGATTGGATTTAAGCCCTTGTCCATAAGTTGAAGCCCATACTTGTCCTGATAATGAGCCCAGAGCCCATGGCTACACAGGTTACAGGCACTAGGTGAGAATTTATTATTATTATTCTGCTAAAGGGACATAGTGTTAATCTGACTTCTAATGACTTATAACTAAACATACAGATCAATGCATCCTCAACCTTCATCAGAGAAGCTTCTATTTCACAATAGGTGGTGATTAACACAAAGACCCACAGCTGGCCAAGGTGCAGAGAATGACTTTGGAGTCCTCAGCCCTGAATGCAACATGTATACTACACTTCCTCCTTTCAAGGCTCAGAGATCACTGTAGTAAGAGACTGCAGAAAGACTGTAAGAACTAGAGAGTGGATGACCTCACTAAAACAGTGTCTTCTGGACATATCAGGACAGTGGTTGTGACAGCATGTACAAGACCTGTGCAAACCCAAACCAAATCCCAACACGAAGAGGGGAGTTGGGCGCAAAGCCCTACCCCCTAGCCAAGGAGCTACTGGCAACTGATAGCTGCTGGGAGAAGAAGTCAGTTGTTTTTCTAAGGGAGTAGACCCTTGTAAGCTGGCCACATTTCAGTGTAGGGCCACACTTGCAGGAATATTTGGGCAGCACAAACTGGACTTGATGGATTTTACTGGGGAGCATAAAGTAGGGGGGGTAAAGAAGGGGTATGGACTTGGAAGGAGTTGCAGGAGGGAGATGAATGTCAAAATATGTTATTGAAATTCTCAACTACAAACACACACACACACACACACTTTACTACAATAAACTCCAAAGTACCCTAGAGCGAACACAAAATGGACAACTGATCAAGTGTGTTCAAAACCACCTACTGCTTTTTTACACATATCCACAAAGAATCCTACACATTCCTGTCACACCCACATGGTGGCCTCTCATAGGTGACATGAAAGAAACCTCAATCTCTTGAAAAAAATCACAAAGTAGTTTTGGTAGATGTTAGCTGAGCACACAGTTTTGTTCAGTAAACCTCCTTTGATGAGGCCTGCTCAATTATCTCTGAGACACTGTAAAAACAGCCACAGACATCTCTCTCTGTTACTGTGGTCACACAGACTGAAGAAACACCAGGGAAAACACAAAATGCACAGAGGTACACACATCCCAGAACATCTAGGGAAAGCTTGATTTTTCTCCCACATTCAAATGTTTGTTGCTAAATGGACTAGGGAAGCCAGGCCAGCATGAGAGGCAACAGGAGGCAGCTTGGGAGGAGGGGCCTTCAGCTTGCTTCTGTTTTCACCTACTTGTCTTAGAGCAGAAGAAATCTAGAAAGGGACATGGACATTGTAACCACAAGGGCGATTAGAAGCTGGCCTGGTGGTATGGGCTCCCGAGCTTAGTGACTCTGGTCTCTAAACCACACTGCCTCTGGGATGTCCACATGAGCTTCACCAGCAGGATGGAGTGGGGCCCAGGAGTTTCTCCCCCTGAAGAGGGGCCAGGGTGACCACGCATGGAGAGGGGAAGGAAAGAGCAGATGGGAAAAGACACCAACAGAATGCAAAGGAAGAGGGTGAGGCCTCTGCATTTTGAACAGTGAATGAGTGCCAGCTAAAAGGTGAGTGTCTGTGACCCAAGGCTGCTTCAAGGTCACAGGAAGCCAACCTGTACATGAACAGATGGGTTGAGGACTGCAGCTCAGAGCGGGGAATGAAACCAGTGTGGGAGACCTCAGACTAGCGAGCGAGCTCATATGTTTGGATATATCACGCTAAGTCACTGCTTTATACGACCTGGTCTCAGATAATCCAGGTCTCCCAGACCAACCCAACACTTGGAATCAGCATCCCTTCCTTATTATAAAAAAAAAAACACTGAAAGTTTAAAAAGCAAACAAACAAAAAAATAGACTGACCAAAAATATCACACCTTAGGCAAATGAGTTGAAAATCCCTTAGAGTGTCATCCTATTTTTTCCCACCCATTTCTCAAGTCCAAGACACCTGGTAAATAGACAGTATTTAGGTAAAGAAATGCAACTCCTGGTACATAGGGTTTCCTGATGGCACAGAATGGAAATGACATCATGGAAACATTGGTGTTCAATGTCAGTCTGTACATTGCTAGGTGACAACAGGAGGCTTAGTCATCAGTGGAAATATGTGTGTGTCTACCTTGGTGGGCCACTTTCGGCCTCCAGTCAGTTTTTATTAAAATCACGCAGGCTGCTTGCCTGACCTCTTCAGGCTCACCTAGACGCACAATCTAAATATAGGTTATACCACACCTCTGTCCATGCCATCTGGGAAGGAATAAAATGATTGTTCCCGAGAAGGAATGGAGTTTCTTTTCAACTCAAGGACAAAGAACCTATGACATGAGTTGACTGTCTCAGTGGTTGACATGAGTGGTCTATTTTGTGTGGCATTTCCTCTGGTGGTGAAAGGGAAGACAGGGCCAACTGGGAAGGTGTGGGATCTTTTGTCTTAATTAGAAAATATAGTTGGAGACGTGGAATTTGGCCAAGTCTCATAAATCTGCTAAAAGAATTGGGACTGTCAGGTAAGTTTAAATAAAACCAACCAAATCCACCGAGATTCATGTAGACTCCCTGCTACTCGTTGACACCCACTTTCCTGTCACTTCTGTGTTCCACAGACAGTGGTTGTGCTCATTAACCAGCCACCCTCCTGCCAGCCACTGACAAGCATATCCCCATGGAGCACAAAATTCAGAGATGATAAATTTACTCCCGTTTGAAAAAAAAAAAACCAGCACTCTCCTCTGGGCAATCAGGATGCTAGGAGAGTTATCTGATAACCTACCTTCATTAGCAAAGCCTGGTCCTCCCTGTCGGGACAGCGCCTCACTGCCAGTGAGAACTGCTCTAGTGCCACTGAAAGGGAAGAAAGAGAAAGGTGACTGCCAGCACATCCATGTGGAACCTGTGGTTAAGGCCGAAGAAATGGCATGCTAGCCATGCTTGCTTGGGGACATGTGGCTTTCCCCACCTGTCCACTGCATGGGCTGGGATCTGTGTGCAGTGACTTCCCCACTGTCGGCTGGAGAGATCACAGGATCACTAGTCAGCCAACCTCCATGGGGACCACCAGAAAGTCCTGGGTTCAGTCACTGTGTGAGCCACCCTGAGAGACTACACATTATCCCCATTCCAGGGACTTCATGAAGAGAATCCCAACTGTTAGGGTATCTTTGTTGTCAACTTTCAACCATCCTCTTCTATAGTGATCTCCATGTATTAGTTCACTGTGTGGTGAAAACATGATATGACCCCAAATGTTGACGCAAGCAAACACCAGACTCCCCAAATGTATTTAGTCATCTTTCCTCAACCAGTCTTCTCGGATGGAATGGTTAAGGGAAGCATAAGGTGGCTTACAAAACATGCTTTAATTGGTATTAATGTTTCTGGGCATCTTACAGTTTCTGTAAAGTATCCCCCTCTTCTCTGTACCCATGGCCAGCCTCTCATCAAAGGTGTGCTGCGTGCGTGCCCTTTTTTGTTTTTTTACCTAAATAAGCAGTAGAGCACAGACTTTCTTCCTCGAATGTGGTTTTGAATTATCATTTCACTTTTAAAGACGTATGTATAATCCCCCAGCATCCCTGACTTCAGTCCTCTTCTTGTAACAGGGACTAAGACTTTTGTTGTCTAACCTGTCTAGGTTTTCCTCTCACTGCTGGACTGAGGGCTGGCTTCACACTGCTTGCCTTCACTGCTGCTCGGCTGGCAGTCATCCCAGGTGAGCATACATGTGAACACTGCAGACTTGCCCACCCAACTGGGCAAATCAGCAGGCTACCCCAGGTTCTTTCATGACTGCACGAACCCTGCGTGGGTGGCCAGAGGCTTATGATTTAAATCTGAAATGTTTCCCAGAGACCTCTGTTTAAATACTTGGTCCCCAGGTGCTATTTTGGAAAATTCTAGAAATGTTTGGAGTTGGGTCTAGCTGAAGGAACCAAACCATTAGGGGTGATTCCTGGCCCTGCCTCCCCACCCTATTCTCTGATTCTTGGTCGGTTGTGGTGAGAACAGCTTCTGCCACACACTCCTGACCCCCTGGAAAGACCTTCCCTGCCATCCCTTCCCTGCCAAGATGGACTTCAACCCTTTGATACAGTAAGCAGATTCTTCATTCAGGTGGAATAACTTCCTGGTCTAAAGACCAGTTCTTTGTGTATCTGTTGCAGTGAGAAAATAGGAGGCTTAAAACTCCAGAACATTGGTCATCCTAATTCCCTGGTAGGAGGCAATGCCTCAATTAAGCTCCTTATCATGACTTTCATGCTTCTCTCGAGAGGAGAGAGAAGGGCGAAGTGAGGTCACCTGCTCACAGATGCCACCGGTCATGTACTATGGGGACTTTAGGAGCTCTGAAGTCTAAGACAGAAGCCGTCTCCTGAAACGGCTGTTTGTGGCAGTTATCAGAAAAGCTCACTGTGTGCCTGAGGCCTAGAATGGGTTGGCATGCAATTAAATGTGTCTCGACCTGCTCAGGATGAAGAACAATAAACTAAGAGCAAGGCAAGATAGTGGGGGTATTCACTGCAGCAGGGACTGCTCTACACATGGAGCCACGGTCAGTTTGAACACTCATGCCATGCCATTTTGATGGACTCATTTATGAGTCATGTCCTTTGACCCTCACATTCACAGTAAAAGCTGCTGAGAAGTCATCTCTGTATTTCTGTGTGATCCTCGTGGATATATACGAATATTCATATATGCACATAAAATCTGTGGGAATCTATTGATTAGCCAGACCGCCAATCAAGAGAGAATTTTGGAGTGATTTTGAGATACAAAACTCTCCTCTCTCTCTCTCTCTCTCTCTCTCTCTCTCTCTCTCTCTCTCTCTCTCTCTCTCTGTGTGTGTGTGTGTGTGTGTGTGTGTGTGTATGTGTGTGTGTATGTGATGAATATAACATATACGTCATCTATCTATATATCTCCAAAGATACCTTCATCAGTTATTTGGATTAATCTAAAAATCACATCCCTATCAAGTATCTAATATCCATTCTGCTACATCTGTTCAGAGGTTTTAAGGGTCGACAGAGGAAGATAAAATTCTGGTAAAAACCTCACTTTACATTATATAGAGAGATCATTAGTTAAAAGCCCTTGGTGTTACTGTAGATGACCCAAGTTCAGTTCTGAGGATTCATGTCCGGTGATTCACAAACACCCATAGCTCCAGCTCCAGGGATCCGACACCTCTGGGCTCCTTTGGTGCCTGCACACATGTGGTACACACTCACACAGAACTCACATATATGCACAGATTGAAAATAAAACTAAAAGATTCTTAAAACTTTGCTTTAAATTATCTTGCGGTCTTTTCCCTATGTAATACTCCTATGCCACATTAGACAGATATTAAAACATGTTAAATTATCATATCTGTCAATTTATGTTTCTCTTTTTTTCCCTTCGGTTCTCAGGTTCCTGAGCAAAAGCCACCATTTTCCAGTCAACAGAGCATTATGTTTTCTCTGCAAATAAAACCCTGTAAGTCATCAGCAGGGAGAGAGGTAAATTCATGGAGTGGAGACGCAGCACTATTTTCCCTCTTGGCATTTGGGATCTACAATAAGTTAAAAATGAAGTTTTTATCTCTGGTGATTTATCAAGCTCAAGATCTTACAAAAGATAAACAGATGCTCCAAAGAAAGAAATGCATCATCTTAATGTTTCATTTTGACACTCTAGGTATCTAAAAAGCACCTATCTCCAACAGCTCCCCTCTAAAAACATAATAGTTTCCATGATTTACACATTTAATATTTGCTTTAAGACACACTGAACTGAGAACATGTCAGGAGGGGCCACCGAAGACAACGGTCAGACTCGAAACACACAGATTATTTATAGACGAAACTCAAGGGCTGAAAGAAAATCTGGTTGTCAACAGACAGTTGCTTTTGCGATTTTTTTTCTGTCTAGTTCATTTTGGTTTTTGTGTGGGTGGCTCATGTGAACCCAAAGGTTATTTGCTAAGTGTTTTGGAGACTAGAATATGCTGCCCTTTAAAACTCATGTTTGAGTGTGTGTTCCTCACAAATATGTCTAACTTTACAGTGCACTATAGGGCAATAGCTTTTGAATATACCATCGCATCCAGAATTGCCATGGCAAGACAAAAGCTTCTGCACATCTATTTCTATTGCTGGTGTAGAAGTCTTAATCTTTTTTAAAAGATTTTGAATGTACTGTATATGTATTTGTACATACATGAAGGTGTGCATGCATGTTGCAGCCAGAGGTTGATGGCTGGTTTCTTCTTCTATTGATTGTCACCTTATATTTTTGTCCTTAAGCTTGGAGCTCACTGACTGGGCTAGTCTGGCTGGCCAAAGGACTCCAGGAGTTCTCCTGTCCCCTGAAGGTCGTCTTCTTAAACCTGATGCTAATGGAAACAAAACCATCTATTTTGTTTTACTCTTTTACATTTCCCTCCATCAACATGGATACTAATGGATACTAATTATTTTGAGATGACTCTGCTCCCCCTTCCCCCCTGCCCCGCCCCGCCCCATGTATTTACTTATATTCAGCCCAGAATGCTGACACAGATCTTTGCAGTTTACTGTACAAGGTATAATTTTTAAATCACAGGGTGGGAATCAAAGGGGCAGGAGCATATTTCAAAACCAGGGAGGGAAGATTTGAGCAGCCAGACACCATGTGACCCAGATGTGCCACCCTTCAGCATGTGCACAGAGGACTCCACAGACACTTGCTCAGCCTTATATATTGGCAAGGAAATGGAACCAACTTGAAAGTCCTTCAACAGATAAAAAGATAATGAAAATTCCATTTACACTACTGAATACTATTCAGCAGTAAAGAAAAATGGAAGCACGGGCCTTGAAGCTACATGGATGGAAAGAACATAACCCAGACCCAGAAAGACAAATGTCACATATTCTCTCTCATCCAGAGCTCCTAGTTCCAAATCTCCAGATGTGCATGCATAGCCTGGAGTAACTGCAAAAAACCAGAAAAATAATAAGGGACCATTGACACAGCAGGGGCTGGGGGCAGTGGAGAGGAGAATAGCAGGGTACAAGTGATTTGAGCAGGAAAATGGAAAAAGGGAGGTTTCTATCCGGGGAGAGACAAAAAGGTAAAATAGCAGTAAAGGTGTCTGGAAATAAAAGTTAAAAGGAATCATAATATTAAATATCTTCCTAAAATGCAGAGTCATTGTATAAGTAAACATATATAGTTTAAACGAAAATTTCCCATCTAGGCTGGCAATGCTCCTTCCAAATCTCCAGATGTGCATGCATAGCCTGGAGTAACTGCAAAAAAACAGAAAAATAATAAGGGACCATTGACACAGCAGGGGCTGGGGGCAGTGGAGAGGAGAATAGCAGGGTACAAGTGATTTGAGCAGGAAAATGGGAGAGCCGCAAGTGCCTTTAACCACTGAGCCATCTCTCCGGCCCTTTATCGTGTTCTTTTTGAAGAGCACAACCTGCCTCATGCTCCCATTTAGGATGGATTCCATGAAAGGGGCTTGCCCTGGGCTTTCTTCATGGCTCTCCCCGCTGGGTATTTTTGTGAGACGGTGGGCTCTTGCTCTTTCCTACCACATTGCCACCTTCTGGGCTTTTCTGATTTTGAGTGGGAGAGACCCAGGGGCCCAGGACTTCCTGAGCTCTCATAGAGTGAGTAACTGCTCCTCCAGCCTGCCATTGTAGACCTTGTAACATGTGAACCCTCCATCCTCAGAAGCACCTTTTGCTCACAGAACGCATTCATGGGTCTGAGTTGAATGCCTGACTGGGCAAGGGGGACAAATTTAGTTCATTCCTTCCCTTCCCAGGGCCTCCAAGAGGCTGTATCTGCAGAGACCTGTCAGC